GTTGTCCTTTATTTTCGGTGTCAGTTACCATGCAACGTGGGACCACCAAACCACGTAAACGCATGCTGTTATGTTTTATAGGCTTATATAAGCCACTCTCGTTCATCTGGATAAATACAGTTTTTTTCTTCAATACTCTCTTCGTTATATCTATAGTATTTACAATTGGTATCAGAGCTCCACAAGGGGCCTGGTACAAAGCGTGAGGTGTGAGTGAGAGAAAAGTAAATATCCGGTGTGAGGTGTGAGAAGAGTAAACATCCGGTGTGAGTGCAACGTGAAGTGTGAAGGATGTCTACATCAGAAAAGTTTGTGCAACCGGTCATTCCAAGGTTCGATGGCCACTATGACTTCTGGTCCATGACGATGGAAAACTTTCTACGAAGCAAAGAGTTGTGGCATCTCGTAGAAGACGGCATACCAACAATTGGAAGCACACCCACTGAAGCACAACGGAAGAGTGTGGCTGAGGCCAACCTCAAAGATTTGAAAGTGAAGAATTACTTGTTTCAAGCCATTGATCGAGAGATTCTGGAAACAATGTTGGACAAGAGTACGTCGAAGGCCATATGGCAATCCATGCAGCAAAAATATCAAGGATCAACCAGAGTCAAAAGAGCCCAGCTCCAAGCGCTGCGACGTGAATTTGAGTTGCTGGTCATGAAAGAAGGCGAGAAGGTTGATAACTACTTTGGAAGGACTCTAAGTGTGGTCAACAAGATGAAATCAAATGGTGAAGCAATGGAACCAAGCACCGTGGTTAGCAAGATCCTCAGATCACTAACCTCGAAATTTAATTATGTAGTGTGTTCAATCGAGGAATCCAATGATTTGAGCAGCTTGAGTATTGATGAACTCCATGGCAGCCTGCTTGTTCATGAGCAAAGGATGGAGGGATTCCAGACAGATGAACAGGTATTGAAAGTTACCTATGATGACAGATCAGGAGCAGGCAGAGGTCGTGGCAGAGGTGGTCGTGGCCGTGGGAGAGGACGAGGAAGACAATCTATAAACAGAGCACTTATTCAGTGCTTTCGGTGTCACAAACTGGGCCACTTTCAATATGAGTGTCCAGACTTGGAGAAGAAGGCCAATTATGCGGAGCTTGAAGAAGAGGACGAAGAGATTTTACTGGTAGCATATGAAGAGCTGCATCAAATCATACATGAGGAAGTATGGTTCCTGGACTCCGGCTGCAGCAATCATATGACAGGAAACAGAGAATGGTTTTCAGAAATGGAAGAGGGATCATGCAAAACTGTGAAACTTGGAAATAATACCACGATGACAGTTGTAGGCAAAGGGAACATTCGTGTACAAATTAATGGCATCACTCAGGTAATATCGAATGTTTATTTTGTACCCGAGCTTAAGAACAATTTATTAAGCTTAGGCCAACTCCAAGAAAAAGGCTTGTCCATCTTGATTCAGCATGGAAGCTGCAAGATATTCCATCCAGAGAAAGGCCTAATTATGCACACTAATATGAAGGGTAATAGGATGTTCTACGTGACAGCCTCTACAGCAACCAAAATTCCAATGTGCATGCAAGCGGATACCACCTCAGACCAGGAAACGTATCTGTGGCATTGTCGTTTTGGCCACCTTAACTACAGAGGACTAAACACGCTCGCATGTAAGGAGATGGTCATTGGACTTCCACCACTGGCATTCCAAAACAGAATTTGTGATACTTGTCTCATTGGTAAACAACAAAGAGAACCAATACCGAAGAAATGTCTATGGAGGGCCTCAAAACAGCTTCAACTAATTCATGCTGACATTTGTGGTCCCATCACACCATCCTCAAATAGCAACAAAAGGTACATATTAAACTTCATTGATGATTTTTCTCGTAAAACCTGGATCTATTTTTTACAAGAAAAATCTGAGGCGTTGACCATGTTCAAAAGATTCAAAGCGTGCGTTGAGAAGGAAATTGATATGTACATCACTTGTCTAAGGACCGACCGAGGAGGTGAATTTACCTCACTGGAGTTTGGAGATTTTTGTAAAACTCATGGCATTTCCAGACAACTAACAACTGCCTACACGCCTCAGCAAAATGGAGTTGCTGAACGGAAGAACAAAACACTCATGAATGCAGTACGAGCAACTTTGAATGAGAAACAAGTTCCTAAAGCTTTCTGGCCTGAAGCAGCTAGATGGTGTGTGCATGTACAGAACCGAAGTCCAACTTCAGCTGTAGATTAGAAAACTCCCGAGGAAGCTTGGTGTGGTGAAAAGCCAAGAGTAGATTATTTCCGAGTTTTCGGATGTGTGGCACATGTTCATGTACCAAACCAAAAGAGAGGCAAACTCGATGACAGAAGCAAGCGTTGTGTGTTTCTAGGAGTCGACGATGAATCTAAAGCTTACAAGTTGTTTGATCCTGTAGAAAAGAAAGTCATCATAAGTCGTGATGTAATCTTTGAAGAAGACAAAAGTTGGGATTGGCAAGGAACGAAAGAAGAACGCAAAACCGACCTCGCTGGATCGGGAAGAACAAACAGTCAAACCGGCGATGAAGACCCAAGATCTCGCACAACAAGCCCGCAATGATAGTGTCACTCTTGAACACGAAACCAGCCCACTAGTAGATGACGATGAGCACGATGAACACGACTCTCTAGTTCAAGGGAGGGCAACAAGGCAGAGGAGACAACCAGCTTGGATGGCAGATTATACACATTTTTCTCAGCAGAAGCTTGCCTAATGGCACCGATGATGGCTGAAAATGAGAGTGACCCTCACTCCTACGAGGAAGCATCTCAAGACGAGAAAATGGAGAGAAGCAATGGAATTGGAGATCCAAGCAATTGAAAAGAACAAAACTTGGACTCTCACTAATGCTCCAAAAGGAGTCACACCTATTGGAGTTAAATGGATCTTTAAAACCAAGCTCAATGAACATGGGAATATTGAGAAATACAAGGCTCGGTTGGTGGCAAAAGGGTACGCGCAACAGGTATGGAGTAGATTATACCGAAATCTTTTCCCCAGGAGCAAGGCTTGACACGAGTGCGAATACTATTAGCCTTAGCAGCTCACCATAAATGGGAAGTACTCCAATTAGACGTAAAAAGTGCCTTTCTTCATGGAGAGCTCAAAGAAGAAGTGTACATACAGCAACCTGAAGGCTTTGTTAAGAAAGGCCAAGAAGACAAGGTCTACAAATTGAGGAAGGCACTATACGGGCTTAAACAAGCTCCAAGAGCTTGGTACAGCAGAATTGAGGCATACTTTGTCAAGGAGAATTTTGAGAAATGTCCTAGTGAACACACTCTGTTTACAAAAAGAAATGGAGGTAACATTTTAATAGTTAGTCTTTACGTAGATGATCTGATCTTCACTGGAAATGATAGAAAAATGTGTGAGCAATTTAAAGGTTCAATGATGTCGGAGTTCGATATGACAGATTTGGGGAGGATGAGACATTTCCTAGGCATAGAAGTAATTCAAAATAGTACTGGGATCTTCATTTGTCAGCGCAGCTATGCTCAAAAACTACTGACACGATTCAACATGACAGAATGCAATCCAGTAGGAAACCCAATTGTTCCAGGAACAAATCTGTCAAAAGATGAAGAAGGTACAAGAGTAGACGCTATGAAGTTTAGACAAGTAGTAGGCTGCCTTATGTACCTAATCGTCACTCGCCCGGACTTAATGTTTGGAGTGAGTCCGGTTAGCGATGTTCATGGCGGATCCAAAAGAATCACACTCGGGCAGCAACAAAAAGGCTTCTACGATACATAAAGGGGACAACAGAGCATGGGATCTTCTACAAAACAGAAGAAAGAAACAAAAGCCTCATAGCCTATTCTGACAGCAACTATGCAGGGGACTTGGATGATCGCAGAAGTACTTCTGGCCTAGTACTGAAGATTGGATCTGGAGCTGTGTCATGGGCCTCCAAGAAACAACCTATTGTAAGCTTATCTACCACTGAGGCGTAGTATATTGCTGCGGCATCCCGTGCTTGCCAATGTATTTGGGTTAGAAGAATTCTAGATCGGCTTGGAGAAGAAGAGAAGAAAGCCACCAAGACAAGTAATACTATGTGATAATAACTCTGCCATCCAATTATCCAAGAATCCAGTCTTTTACGGGAGAAGCAAACATATTGCGAGAAGATTCCACTTTCTCGAGATTTGGTGAAGGATGAAATTGTGAGATTAAGTCATTGCAAATCTGAGGACCAAGTTGCGAACATAATGACAAAACCACTAAAACTTGAGAGATTTCAAAAGCTGCGTGACATGCTTGGAGTAATGAAAGTTGTTGAAATAAGCTAGCTGCACATGCATCTAGCTTAAGGGAGGGAATGTTCCATTATAATTAGCCGTTGTCAGTAGTTGAATAAGTCCTGGTTTGGTTTTCTAGAACCAGTTTCTTTTGTTATTTGTTGTCCTTTATTTTCGGTGTCAGTTACCATGCAACGTGGGACCACCAAACCACGTAAACGCATGCTGTTATGTTTTATAGGCTTATATAAGCCACTCTCGTTCATCTGGATAAATACAGTTTTTTTCTTCAATACTCTCTTCGTTATATCTATAGTATTTACAGCTAATACAACTGATTTTATACAATTAACAGTTTATGTTGATTATAACAAAACATGATTTCTAATAATATGATGATTCTTACGAAACTAAAACATAATTAATATAGGCATGTATTTGCTGATTTCCACTTTTATTTCTCTAAAATATGAAACATACAGTTTTACCAGATGAACTAATCACAAAATAAATAAAATACACGAAAAGGAGGAGAGTTGGTGGAAGGTGCTCCTGGTAAGGTCCTTTTAGTTAGGAAGAATTTAGAAACAATTCTGGTTTGCTTATTGCTTGATCCTGTGTTTAAGTAAAGCTATTATTTACTACTTGAAACTTAAAAAATGGCTGATTAAATACACTCGAAAAAAAAACACACACACACACACAGAGGAGGATGGAATTGAATTTCATTTGTGATTGTGGGCACACATATTGCTAACACTCAGGTAGATCAGCCGGTGGTGGTGGGAGAGAAGTTGAAGAAGTTGGTCCACTCTCAACCTCAAAAGCCATGTCTAGTCCCCATAACATATGATCATCCACATGGCAATGCACAAACCACATCCCTACAAAGAAAAAATGTTACTAATGAACCATATATCTGAATCAAATTCTAAGTTTATTAAATCTAACGTTACATAAATAATGATTATCATTATTATGAATAGTACCTGGATTGTTTGCTTGGAATCTGATGACAGCCCATCCTCCAGCTGGCACAGCAATTGTGTTACGTATCTGTGGATTCACTAAATTAAACTTGACTCTATCTTTGGTCGCATTGTAGTTTCCAAACCCTTGAGCCAAAACATGGAAACTAAAACCATGAAGGTGCATGGGGTGGCTTTGTGGATTCAAAATTGCCGTGTTTTGAAACACAACCTCAACGGTTGAATTGAACTTGAGCTTCTTCACCTTGGTCGATTTCGGGGCAAACATGACGCTAAAATCCAAAGCATTTTTGGGGCTTGTGTAGTCAAATTCTACAGGGGGGTAGTTAGGAAAATCAGTACTGTACACACCACTCACATTGTAAAACGATGCCTCTAACATAGAGTACCCTTTCCCGACAGGGTGCACAAAGGACTCGTTATTCATGCTGGCAGAGAATTTCTCTTGAAACAAACCTAAGCACGTGCCATTCTTGGGACACCGTTCTAGGTTTATGCTAATGGTGATGAGCATCTGCTCGTCCACCTCAAGTGGGACGGGGACCCAGTGTGGGGCCCCCACCAAGCCTTTGATGCCGGTGAAGAATGTGTTGGCGATTGGTGTGTCGTTGAAGGGTGGAAGTATTGGCATGATGGGTTTTGAAGCTTTTAAGGTTGACGTGTAACCTTCGTAGACGACAATGCCTCGCGTTGTCGTGTTGTCGAATAGTGGCGAGGGCTGGCCCACAACGTAAGGAGAGGCTGCCATGTAATAGGAGCCTATGGGTTGGTCAGCTTTGAGAAGCACGTCAGCGGTTTGACCAGGGGCGATGGTGATGACGTCAGTGACGTATTGCTCGATGTATGAAGCGTCCATGGCAACCACTGTGAATTTGTGGTTGGCTATCTTGAAGAAAAGGTTGTTATTGAATGCAGCGTTGATCATTCGTAGCATGTACGTCTTTCCTTGTCTCACCTTTAGCTTGAATGTCTCTGAATTATGTTCAAATGTTCATCAATTTTGAATTAGTTTAGATCTTATACAAAGTTCCAAACTAGCGATGCTCACATCACACTAGTGATTATAACTAAGATGTTTTTGAAAAATGGTTTATAACCATAATTTTTACAGAAATGTCAAGATTTACGGGTCTACTATATTGAGAATATAATTAGGGTGACATTAATTACCTATAATTTTCTATCAGGATTATGACAAAATTCAAAACATGGCTACACCTGCAACTTAGAAGCTCAAATCGTATACAACTTTTAAAGATTTTTGTATCATTGGTTAAAATTTATTTGATATTAAATTTAGGTAAATTTTATTTCTTATATCAATCTCTTCTTGATGTGAAGGTAAAGTCTATCATTTTTTTTAATAAATTTCGAGTAACCGTGTGTGTTAAAAAAATGTAGATAATATTATTGGTGTTCTCAATTATTAGACTCACATTTTTAGTTGCATTTGCGTACAATTATAGTTATAATTAGTCATATATATTATAATTAACCTACTGCAATTATAATAACATGTTACAATTTGAAACGTGGCCCACTATTTTTCATAGTTTGATAAGCACACCAAACTCAATGAAAGTGGGTATAGTTTGTAATAGCACACGTTAAAATATATTAGAAGGTGAAGACTTACGATGTTTTGAGCAGTTGAAGAGATCACCAGGCAAACCATTGATGGTGAAGGCATCGGATACCCGTACAGCCCCATTGGCGAGTATGAGATTATAAATATCCACCACATTTCCGTCATACCAATCACCTGAATTTAAATAGCAAATTACAAGAATTATAAAAAAAGATATTTTCTTGTCATGAAATTACAAATTTTATTATTGTACTCAAAGATTTGGACTTTTACCTAATATGAGTGGAACATGCTTGTAGGGTTTAGGAAATGGAAAGTATCCCGATCTAGGGTGAATGATGAAAGCACCATGAACGGTGGCACGTAAAACTGAAGCATGAGCATGCCACCACACTGTTCCTTCTTGTTTTATTACATTGAATTTATAAGTATAACTATGTTGAGGACGAATTGCGCATTGTGTTATGTATTCAGGACCATCTGCCCATGCACTAAAGAGCTGAAATATTCCATGCCTACAAATACAGAGAAAATTTAGAGTTTAGTTTCATACGAAAAGAAACTTAAATATCCTACAATTATGCAAGTTAGAGGTGAATTATGTACTTACCCTTCAAAACTAACTCATGATGAATTGTGCAATTTATCTTAAATAATAATAATAATAATAATAATAATAATAACATGTTGTATTGAAGGGTAGTAGGTGGAAACATACATCCTAGGTAGTTTTTGTTGTGAACTATAAAATGGAAGAAGTTGGTGGCAGCCAAGAAGCAGAAAAAAATATAATCACCCCTATACTTTTAATTCTTTGCCATTTAAATCTCTCTGCCTTCTTCTTCTCTTCTGTCACACTGTTATTTAAGTTTATAAATTATTTTCTTTTTTTTTTCTCTATTTTTTTCCTCGTCTCTCCCCTCTAGCCATCGAAATTATTTATGAATGGACGCTAATGTGAACAATAAGAAATATATCTCTTTAATTAAAAACGAACTCTCCGCCAACCTTTCTTGAACCTTTTTGGGACCACTTTTGACTTTTCAAACATCTTCAACGCAAACAAATGATAAAAACAAAAATAATTTTTGAAACAAAGATATAATTATGAATTTGTCTTTGTGGACACAAAGTAACATAAAACAAATTTATTGGTTATTTTCTACACGAATCCAATTCATGGCCGATTTAACTATGAAATAAGAAATAAAAATAATTGCATATAATATAAATTATTTGATACTGCAATAATAAAATTGATTAGAAATGTTTACCAGTGAATAGTGATATTGTAGGGTGACTTGTTAACCAGGTGAATGATCACAGCGTCCCCTTCTTGAACTTCTATCGTTGGTCCAGGGTAAAGTCCATTAACTGTGACAATCACTCGTTCATTGCACAAACGTTTGATAGCTTTGTTTTGGACCTAAAAATCAAGTACAATAATGATTGAGAAAAGGGTCGACAATATGATTGTATGACAAGTGGCTACGGTAGGTAGGGGAGTAGTTGAGTGATACAAGTTGGACTGAAATATTCATATTCTGAATAATAAATAATTATTTGAATAAATTCATATTAATTAAAAACAAATAAATGCATGCTGCAAAAGGACCAGTCGATATAAAAAAAAAACAATAATTGTTTAAAACTTCATTTTTTTTTTCAAAAACCTAATTCCCTTAGTCAATTATTTTTAGTCTTTCTCTTATCACATCAATATTAGACTTTTTTGTTCTTTTATCTATATTTGGTCTCGTTTATTTTTATTTTTTTAGTGTATAGGAACTTAGCTATTTATCCATCATGTCATACCATATTGGTAATATGTCACAAGGTATCTAATAGTATAATGGGTCAAAAAAAAAATCTGTGGAAAGAGTAAGAAAGAAAAGTAAAAGATCAAACACAACCCAGAACTAGTAAAAGAGAAGTAAAATGTTAGCCAATTACAGTGAAAGTGTGCTCCACTGTTGCTGCAGAGGCCAAGGAAAAAACTAGAAGAGCAGAAGCCCATGCAAACAACACCAAAAGCTTCATGCTGTTGAAGTGGCAAAGCGAAAGAAACAGTAAGATAGAAGCTCTTCTCTGATGAACTATCAACTTGTCAGAAACACTTCTCTGAGAAAGTGAGAAGGTACCGCGAGATGGTTATGTTAATGAACAGTTGGATTTGTTTGCCTGGCACAACAACAAGGACTGCACACAATGTAGAGACTTGTTTCTGTGTGCTTCCGAAAGCAAGGCTATGGATGGTATATATATGGAGTCAGACAGTCAGTGGTGTTCACTGCTTCAACGATTTTAGGTGTATATTCTTTGACAATTCATTTGTTAAATTGGTGTTGCATCACTCTTTGTCAGAAAATCAATTTGTGTAAAAAATATGAAGGTTAGATCAGCTATAGACATATATGTTCTTACAAAGAGCATAAGAAGTCAAAAAACGAGATATTAAAAATTGGAATTGAGTTAGGAAACCGTCACAATTAGCATCTCTGTCATGAAACTTATGCTATTCAAAAAAGCAGCAAAATTAAAAATTGACTTTAACTCTCATGCAATGCGAGTTCGTTCTCTTACATTCTTTATTTGACTAACTGTTTATACTCCTTTTAGTGTTTATAGTTTAATTATGATTCAATAATTTATTTTATTACCGCAGTTTACTTGCGTTTATAACTAAAAGAGTCCTTTAATTGTTTTTTGCGTATTAAAAAATATATTATGAAGTTAATAATATTATGTTAAAAAATTATCTTTAAAATTATCAAGACTCGTTACTTTACTCTTTTCGCTTAATTGTTTTTTTTTTCTCTTAAATTAATGTGAGCAAGTCATGTTTCCTGATTCTTATAAAAGAAAAATGAATTTATTCTTATAGTATTTATTGTAAACTAATTAAGGATACTATGATATAAAATAAAAGATAATTTTAAAAGAGTCATATAAAAAAGATAAATTAATTTATAAAAATTGCCTTATTTATATAGAAACAGAAGATATTTTTGGTAAGTCCCAAAACTTATAAAATCTGAAATTTCTTGCAATTTTTTGATGGATTTATTCTCAGGTTATAATATACGTAATATATGACTCGAATTTATTATAAAAACTGGGCTTAGCTTGGTAGAAGTTCAGAAAATAAGGTATTATATCAAAAGGAATCCTTCACAATCCCCACTAAGATTTAGTGACTGCAAGTTTGGACTCTAAAAACTTTAAGAAAATGGTTCCTTGACGGAAAACAATGCCTTGAACAAAATTACTTACCTTAACATAGCAGTATTATTTTGACATTTTACATTGATTACTTATGCGTAAAAACTATGTTTAAGGACAAGCATAACGAACGGACTAGTAATAAACCTAAAGTCAGACATTGTTTCTAGATGGTTCCAAATAATTAATTTCTAATATATTGTGAAACACTTTTTCTTTGCAAAGTGAACAAATTAAAAGATATTAGTATGAAAGTTTAATTGATAGAAAGTTTTAGGATTATGATTTCAAATGAACCTTTTGTTCTTCTAAATACTATTCCATTCTTTTTTAAACCATGTTGAAAGTATAATTATGAGAAGTGCAATCCTAACGAGGTTAGCATTCCACTCTCACCAAATTTGCTCGTAACATGAATGTATATATATATATATATATATATATATATATATATATATATATATATATATATATATATATATATATTTGAACCTATTAAAATCATTAAAAAAAATACAAACCTTAATCAAATATACCTTCCACAAGATTAAACCTATTCCAAGAAAATTTAAGATTAATGCTAGAAGATATATTTTCATATATCATTCAAACGGAATAGGTTAATTGTCAATTGCTAACTACCCATTCCTTATTCTATTATAATAAAAATTGATCAAGGTTATAGTTATAGTTTTTGAGCGACATTATTTTACTTTTTCACACTGTTTTAATCTACTAATGTAAAATCCCCTATTTTAATCTATATTAAATGTCTCCCCTACAATAGTGATTATTAATGATGATAGATTATTGGATACACTTATTGTTTATAATATCCAATAAGATATTACCTAAAACCCCTAGAAGTAGGTAATTCTATGTAGTTATATAAACTCCACTCAGTTTGCAAATAAAACTCTAGTTAAGGAGACATTTCTTACACTGCAACTAAAAGTATCATTCCCTCCTTTCTTGACCTGATTTCATAGAGATCAATTCATGTTCTTAGCACCACAATTGCCTGCATGATCATTTGAAGCGGACATTTTTGCTGTGGTTGTTTTAGATCCACGTTTCCTAACATATACATGGTGTAGTGTTGTTGGACTCTTCGACGATCGTTTTTGTCTAAAATTGACGTTTAAGACTAAAATCATATGCTGGTGTCATAAAATAATGCTCCGTTTATACTATTCAAAACTAAAAAAAAAAATTACATATGTTTTAAATTAATCAAATTTAAAATATGTATTGGAGATGAATTTTTTTCATTTTTTAAGTACATAATATTTTATTTTAATGATAATTAATTTTTTAAAACTTCTCACGACATCTCATAACAAAAATGATTATGATCTATCCTTTACAATAATAATAATTTGAAATCATACAAATATGTTTAATGCTTTATAAGCATTGAAAATATGAGAACAATAGTAAGGAAATGCTTAAAAAGACTGAATTATTTACAATGAAAAAAAAAAAAAAAAAACACTTACATAAGTCCATTGTTGATTACTAAGCAGAAGACTTTTGACTATATACTCTGACGCACACCATTGTCATCTGGTATGAAATTCAAATATGTTATAAAAAATCAGAGTTCACCTACCAAATACATGTTGTATTTGAAGTCTAACCCTGCATGCATGCATGCTCTACATACACACACACACAAAAACAAAGTCCAACCATGTTCTTAATTATTTCTATTTACTCACCACCACAGCTCCACGTGCCTATGCATCTACCAAAACGTATACTCAGTCATGGGTCATCATTTTAAAATAGGAGTGTTAGGAGCACATATTTTAATACAATTATTTGTTGTTACAGATTTATAGAAAAAAATATATAGAATGAAAATAAGCTATGAAATTCAAAAAATATATTTATAATTTTTAATACATTTAAACAAATAATTATATATATATATATATATATAATATTTAAAAAGAGTTTTAGGAAAAGTGTTTTTATTTTTATTAAAAAGAAGACAGGAGTTGATACTTTTAAAAGCATCCCGAATATTTGTTGGTTTAGATTAAAACCCAATAAACCGTTTATTTTATTGGGTACAGACTACACTACCAACTTTTCATGAAATTTATTAAATTATTCTCGTTGACGTCCAAAAAGAAAATATTAAGTTTCTAACTAAATTATATTTTTGCAGAAAATCAGTTATCCATGAAAAGATTAAATATTTATAATTCAGATCCACAAGATACGTAGCAACTAACGATTATACGGCCCACCATTTTATTTTAATTGATTTTAGTTTAAGATCTTGCTTATATATATTTCTGTTTTATTATTTTCAAAGTCATATATTTGCATTTTAATTTTATATTTATATATAAAAGGATAAGTTAGTGTACTGTGGCTTTGATTATGATTAGAGTATAACTGAATAATTATATTTACATCTTATCATTTAATTATTTAGTGAATTAGTAAATTATACTTTTAAACAGTTAAGGTCTATCTGGCCAAAATTTTCTTCGTAAAATAATTTTAAAAAGAAATTAAAAAAATAAGCTTTTTATAAATTAAAAATAACTTTTGTGTACTTTAAAAAATTAAATAAATTCTATAAAATTATTTTGACAAATTACAATATACACAAGTTAAATTATTTTTCATTTTATTTTCTATCGTAAACTGTTCAGGAAAAAAAGAGAGAAGGAAAACTCTAAACTCAAATTGTTAGATAACTGATTTCACTGTGACTTGAGTACACCAATAATGAGTTAGATTAATTTTTTTAACATGAGAATTGATGTCATAAGTAATTTAGGTGAGTGTGTGTAAAGAATATATATGGTTTTCGTAAATATTCTAGAACCTGAAGAAAATAGATAGAAAATCTTCGTGGTTGTCTTGCGCTGCAGCTTGTAGCGTAATTCATTCAATATTTTATAACGAGCGTAACTTAACCACCTGTTATTTCGCCAAAAGACAAAAGAAGCGTCAAGTCTTAAAATTATTTCAATGTATAAGTTTGACCAGTGTTATGCACAATTATCACCATTCACTATATAAAAATCAAAATAGAGCAAATTTTTAAATGAGTGAAAGTCAATGTGACACTGCAGGCCAGAATTGTAAACGTACCCACCAGCAAGAAGAGAAGTTCTAAACCTCTTCTGTATGGCTCATTTTTTATAGAGTTATCAAAGATTTTTTTTTTCTTTCAAAAAATAGTTTTAAATTTCGATTAGAAAACCTTCTAAGATATTTTAAACTCAAACATGTTTTATATTGATCTGGATTGAGATAATAGAAGGAGAGAAAAAAAAATAATAGATTTGATATTTATATAAAGAAAGAGATAGGAAGAAAGATACAAGATATAAGTGAGTTGCATGAAATGTTTAACAAAAACTATTGAAAGTGCTATGCTATTATCGTTATTATTTCAGAAGATTATATGAAGATGTTTATCCACATTATATAAATTAAAAGAGTATACTTACTAATATTATTGTATAACATTATATCAAGACTCATATGGACAGTCGTTTTTTTATTACATCTTTTGACCACAGTATTATTTTATATAAAAACTTAAATACAAGCATATAATTTAATTTGACTCATATCATAAACCGAAAAGTTTAATTAAAAGAATAAATTTGGGTGGCTTTTGTTAAAATATTTGACTTAAAATAGATTTAAACGGAGAATAAATTTGATTTATTTAATTTATAATAACGATCTTACATATCTTTTTATGTTTTTATCAACGTTTTTAAAATTGTATAGATGAAAAACATGTATTTAAGATTTAATAAGGATTTAACTAGATTTAATAA